TCTCCTGCCAAAACAAACAGCATATTATTGCAGCTGTAATGTTTATGTCTTTGCCACAAAACTGTTTTTTTGCAGTAATTTTGCTATTATGCTATGATTTTTATTGGAAAATATATTACGGCCATCTTAATTTTCTTAGCCAGTTTAACACATTTATGGCCTTTCTGCTTTTGCAAAGTGGTATTTCAAATACTGAAGAATAACTTTTTTTTAATCCTATAAATCGTAGGTGACATTTAAGCCATAAATTTCATTTCTGAATAATCAAATCACAACATTACTGCAACTGTTTTATCACCTACAGCCAGTAAAGTTCCATGAGTTTGTAAAAACATTATTTTAGGCAAGCCACACAAGGGGTAGTTTAATTATCTGAAAGGTCCAGAGTTTGCTATTTTTCACCCAATAGTCTTTTTTTTTTTTTCCTTTTGTGACAGAGTCTCACTGTGTTGCCCAGGCTAAAGTACAGTGACAAGATCTCTGCTCACTGTAACTTTTGCCTCCAGGATTCAAGAGATTCTCCTGCCCCAGCCTCTCAAGTAGCTGGGATTACAGGCGCCCACCACTGCGCCTGGCTAATTTTTGTATTTTTAGTAGAAACAGGGTTTCATCATGTTGGCCAGGCTGGCCTTGAACTCCTAACCTCATGATCTGCCCTCCTTGGCCTTCAAAAGTGCTGGGATTACAGATGTGAGCCACCACGCCCAGGCTGTTCTTCAATATTCTTGAAGAGGTTTATAACACCAAATCTCAGATTTGATGGCTACCTGTTGGGAGAAATCAAGGAATAAGGAAGAGGTTGAATGAGGAATGCAGGTTTCTCGCCATCCTTTTGCCTGGCGAGCCCCCTTCTCACCAAGACAAGAGGCTGGTTTTTGTTTCTGGTTTCATCACATCAAACTCTGGCTCATAACAAAAGCAGTCAGTCTCCTGTTGCTGCTTCATGGATAGCGTCTCTAACAGGCATTAGCTTTTTGTTGGTGGTGTTGTTAATAGTCTGAAATTTCTAGTAGTAATGGGATGGAGGGAGTGTGAGCATTCACTCTAATACAGTGACAATCAGGAAAGTCTGGAAACTCAAGTGTTATTGGTAAACCCTAGGGACAGGACGTGAGAATCCAGCGTCACCAGTAAGTGGAGGACTTGATCAGAAATGCACATGCCTTGGGGCCTGTATGGAGCTGCCTGCTCAGCTATGGTTTGAAGCAGAATCTGAGGCCATGGTCTGGATAGTTTGGCAAATGTCAGGGTATGGGTATTTAGATGAGGCAAAAGGCTAACTGGAGGTGTGGGACACAAGTGAAAGACGGCACCAGGAGGTTGAAACTGTCCCTCGAACCCTCCCTTGGGTGATGGAGCCCCAGTTATTCCCGTACACCCTCGTCCTCTGAGCCAGGGCTCTCTCCCCAGCTAGATGGTTGATGCCCCAGAACACGCCGTATGTGAAACTGTCAGTGGATTGAAGCCACTGGTCCTTTTGTAGGCAGCTAGCAGATCCCCAGCTTAACGGAAGACACAAGTTTGGTAGATTCAGGATCGAAGCCCAGCAAGTTCCCTCATCACTGTCTCCTCCACCTAGATACATAACAACCTATCACAGTGGTTGTTTAAATACCAGGGCCACTTCGTCTCCCAGGTCTCCTGAGAGTCCTCTCCCTCTTAGACATATATTTTACACAATCAGCGTTAACAAGCAAATCTGGGGAGGAAGGGTGAATTGTCTCTCTCTGCTTCAGCTGGGACATCCATCTTTTTCTGCCCTTGGACATCAGCTCTCCAACTTCTCGGGCCTTTGGGCTCAGACCTAGACTCACATCATTGGTTCCTCTGGGTCTTGGGCTTTTGGGTTTGAACTGAAACTATGCCATTGGCTTTCATGGACCTTCAACGTGCAAATGGCAGATGGAGGGATTTCTCAGTCTCCAGAATTATGTGAGCTAATTCCTCATAATAAATCCCTTTCTATACATCTATACACAGCCTATCGGCTCTGTTTCTCTAATACGTTTCTTTTCTGACTTCTTCAATTACTTCTCCTTTAACAGCTTTAATGAGGCATAATTCAAATGCTACCCAATTCGCCCATATAAAGTGCACAATTCATTGGTTTTGGTATATTCAGAGAATTGTGTAACCATCACCACAATCAATTTTAGAAACTTTTCGTCACCCCAAAAATAAACCTCATACCCATTAACAGTCATTCCCCATTTCATCTCACCTCCAGCCCTAGGCAACCACCAATCTACTTTCTGTCTCTATGGATTTTTCTATTCTGGATATTTTATGTAAATGGAATTGTGCAATATGTGGTGCTTTCAGACTGGCTTTGTGTACTTAGACAATGTTTCATGGTTTAACCGTGTTGCAGTATGTATCAGTACATCATTCTTTTTCAGTGCTGAATAATATTCCATTGTGTGGATATATCACATTTTATTTATCCATTCATCAGTTGATGGACATGGGTTGTCACCACTGTGGAGTTATGATGAATTACTTTGCTATGAACATTCATGTACAAGTTTTTGTGTGAACATGTATTTCACTTCTCTTGGATATATACCTCACAGTGGAATTGCCGGGTCATATGGTAACTTTATCTTTAACTTTTCAAGGAACTCTCAAACTGTTTTCCAAAGTGATTGCAACATCTGTTACATGTTGAACATCCCTAATCTTAAATTTTAACATCTAAAATACCCCAAAATCTGAAACTTTTTAAGAACCAACATGATGTCACAAATGGATGATTTCTCATCTGACCTCACGTGGTGGGTGTGGGAAGTTAAAAAAAGTTCCTCTTTAAAGCTTCCTTTCTTGTTAAAGAATAAATTTGCTAATAACTCTTTGTTAAGCCCTGTCTTATGTAGCTGGTAAACATACCATGCTTACAGGCACGTAGCATATTCTATGTCCTTGTACTTTAACCAAGTTATCTAAGCTGGGTGTGCTCACAGGCATGTCCCAGCTCGCCGCAGCCTATGCCCGTTACCTGTTTAGAAAAGTTTTAAGTTGTTAGCCAATCGGGTTTGAGTTTAGATTGTGAGGTCTGGCTCCAGCCAATGGAAATCAGACACAGCAGTAAGGACAACCCAAATCCCTAAGGGATAAATAGGACCACTTTTCCTTGTTCATTATACTCTGTGGCAAGCTGGCAAGCGAGGGAACCCTTCCTGCAGTCCAGGAAGTAAAAATTGCTTTGCTAAGAGATCCTTTGTCTCAGTGCTAATTTTTCTTTGCAGCACAGAGCATCTATTTCCAACAATGGGTCACAGTCAAAATGCAGGTGCACAGTGATGAGGATACCATTGTTAACACTGCAGAAAAAATGGCCTCTAGACAACAAGATGAAAATGTATGATGGGCTCATTGAACGACTAGAGTACCACGCATTCATAACAGAACAAGAAATCATGTCAGGTTTCTAAAATCAAAGAGACTTCTAAGACAAGGACAATTTACACTTGATATTTATGCTTTAATGAGGCAGATGATTCTGGAGGAAACATCTTTAAAAGCCATGTAGCAGAATGCCTCCCGAGCCTCAGAACGCCCACTTCCTGGTCTCTCAATTGCTTCTGAAGTTTCTCCTCACCTACAAAAATAAAATACAGTGCATAGTAACCTTTTAATCAAAACATAGCATCGTAGGTGGAGACAGGAAACCTGCTGCTGTTTGCTGCTGCTGGATGCAGCTAGTCCAGGAATGCTACTGAGCAGCTTGGTTGCCCTCAATGCATTACGTTTTCACTGTATTGATGGCATGCCATATTTTCTACTGGTCAGTACTCACTTGCGAATAAGTGGAAGAAAAATATCCTTTTTTTTTTTTTTTTTTTTTGAGACAGAGTCTCGCTGTGTCACCCAGGCTAGAGTGTAGTGGCACAATCTTGGCTCACTGCAACCTCCACCTCCTGGGTTCAAGCGATACTCCTGCCTCAGCTTCCCGAGTAGCTGGGATTACAGGCACATGCCATTATATCCAGCTAATTTTTTGTGTTTTTAGTAGAGATGGGGTTTCACCGTGTTAGGATGGTCTCGATCTTCTGACCCTATGATCCGTCCGCCTTGGCCTCCCAAAGTGCTGGGATTACAGGAGTGAGCCACCGCACCAGGCCGAAAATGATTCTTATCACTAGCATATACATTCAGAGTCCAGAATAATGGTGATGCCAAACAGCAATGTCCACATGGGTGGCTGAGATAGTGACGCTTTTGCTTTTGGATGGTTCAAGGTATACAAACTGTGTTTCATGCAAAACGTTATTTAAAATATTGTATAAAATTTCTTTCAGCCTACAAGTACCAGGTGTACTTGAAACATAAATGAATGTCATGCTTAGACTTGGGTCCCATCCCCTATATCTCTCATTAGGTACATGCAAATATTTCAAAATCCAAAAAGCATCTGATAGCCAAAGCACTTCTGGTCTTAAGCATTTTGAATAAAGGAAACTCAGCATGTACTTCTTATCTTAAAAGTTTATTGACTATTTTAAAAGTTTTTACCTCATTTTCCTTTTTTGTTGTTGTTGTTTTTGTTTCTCAGACCGAGTCTTGCTCTGTCACCAGGCTGGAGTGCAGTGATGTAATCTCAGCTCACTGCAATCTCCACCTCTCGGGTTCACACAATTCTCCCAATTCTCCTGCCTCAGCCTCCTGAGTAGCTGGAACTACAGGTGCACACCACCACGCCCGGCTAATTTTTGTATTTTTAGTAGAGACAGGGTTTCACCATGTTGGCCAGGATGGTCTCAATCTCTCTCTCTCTTTTTTTTTTTTTTTTTTTTTTTTTTTTTTTTTTTTAGATATTTTTATTTCTCCAAATTTGTTATTTCTCAGGAGTGACTGAAATAAAAAATATAAATGAGTCCCATCATCATCATCATGGAAACGGCTTTAAGAGAAAACTGGTCAGATGAATATTATTGCTTCCCACTTTCAACCAGTAAATAGTTGCCACAGATAAATTGACAGCCAGGAGTCTGCCGAGAATGCTCAAGATACGTTGTATAATACAACTTGCCTGTTCACAGGGGGAAAATTCCCAGGAAATAACTTATGTGTATTTCTTGATTTCATCATACAAGACAAGTACAAAAGCACCACCCATGCCTCTGAGAACATTGGACCATGCACCCTTGAAGAAAGCTTTGCCTCCTTCATCACGAGCAATCTTCCTCCAGCAGTCAAGTGCGCCTGTGTACATGATGTCAGTTCCTTTGCGCCCCGACTGCATCATCATGCGGCAGCGAACAGTGTCAAATGGATAGGAAGTCAACCCGGCAACAGCAGTGACAGTCTGTGCGATCATCCAGCTGATAACGATGTGAGTGTTCCTGGGATCCGGAAGCATTCCCTTTGCAGTGTCATAGATACCGAAGTAGGCAGTTTGGTAGATGATAATACCCTGCACAGACACGTTAAAGCCTTGGTACAGACCCTGAATCCCATCAGATTTGTAGATCTTAACCAGGCAGTCGCCGACGCCTCGGAATTCCCTTTCGGCTCCAGCTTTACCCACATCTGCTGCTAGACGGGTACGGGCAAAATCAAGAGGGCACACAAAACACAAGGATGTGGCCCCAGCAGCACCGCCTGATGCCAGATTCCCTGCAAAGAAGCGCCAAAATTGGGTCCTCTTGCCCACACCACCCAGGAAGATCTGCTTGAATTTATCTTTGAAGGCGAAGTTAATAGCCTGGGTGGGGAAGTATCTGATGACATTGGCCAGGTTACCGCGCCAGAAGGACGAGACTCCCTGCTCCATGGGAATACGGACCACGAAGTCTATAATGCCCTTGTATTGCTTATCTGCGGTGATCTGCTTGCTGGCATGCCGTACCTGCAGCAGCAGCTTGACCTGCTCGATGGGCACTACCGCCGTCTTGGAGATGGCTGCGGCCACTCCACCTGCCAGGAAGTCCTTGGCGAAGGACACAGTGGCATCTGTCATGTTGAAAGGAAAGAGGAGGCAGGCTGCTGCAGGACGGGACTGGCCAGGAACCGGCTTTGACTCCGGCGCTGCGGGCAGTCTCAATCTCTTGACCTCATGATCCTCCCACCTCAGCCTCCCAAAGTGCTGGGATCACAGGCATGAGCCACCACATCTGGCCTGGTTTTATTGTTTAAAATTTATTAATCCCATATAGACTTAATTCAATATATAGTGACAATCTATATTTGGATTTTCCTCCAAGTTCGTAGCCAGTGATTCCAGATTATTGCTGAGTAATCCTTAACTCCTCAGTAACGTGTATTTCCTTCTCTTATATATCAATTCAAAACAAAATTTTTTAGACACAAGGTCTCACTGTGTTGCCCAGGCTGGCCTCAAGCTCTTGGGCTCCAGTGATTTCCCAAATAGCTGAGACTACAGGTGTGCACCGCTGCCTGCGTTCCAGTCTGTCTACGTTTACGTCAGTACCACAGAATTTTAATGACTGTCATTTTGGTTTTTGCATTTTAGGTTTTTGTTTGTTTGTTTTCGGGTTTTTTTTTTTTTTCATACAGAGCCTTGCTCTGTCACTCAGACTGGGGTAAAGTGGTGGATCTCAGCTCAGTGTAACCTCCAACTCCCGGTTCAAGGATTCTAGTGCTTCAGCCGCCTGAGTAGCTGGGATAACAGGTGTGCACCACCATGCCCAGCCAATTTTTGTATTTTTGTAGAGATGGGGTTTTTCCATGTTAGCCAGACTGGTCTCGAACTCCTGGCCTTAAGTGATTCACCCACCTCAGCTTCCCAAATTATTATTTTGTTTAATTAAGTCAAATGACTAATCCCCTTTATCATTCTTCATTTTTTGGATATTTTCTTTATTATCTCATTGAACTTCAGAATACTTGCTTCAACTCCTTTGATACTTGTATCAATTTCCATTGGATTTTTAAAGTCCCTATTGAATTAGCTCTATAAATTAATTTGAGAGAAGTTGTTATATTCTGTTACGTCTGGTGCAGTGGCTCATACCTATAATCCCAGCACTTTGGGAGGCTGAGGCAGGCAGATTGCTTGAGCCCAGGAGTCTGAGACCACTATGGGCAACATAGCAAAACTCTGTCTCTACAAAAAAAAGACAAAAATTAGCCAGGCATGGTTGTGCACACCTGTGGTCCCAGATACTTGGGAGGCTAAAATGGGAGAATTGCTTGAGCCTAGGAGGTAGAGGCTACAGTGAGCTGAGATAGCACCACTGTACTCTAGCCTGGGTGACAGCGTAAGACCCTGTCTCAAAAAAAAATAAAAAAGAAGTTATTATTTCTACAATAAGTAATTATTACACCTTGCTATATCTGCAGGAGAAATTTCAAACTACAATTTGCAGTACTTGATGATTTGTTCGCTCTGTGGGTTAAAGAAGGAAGAATCAAAACATTTCTGAGGCTTTGGGTTTAAGGGACTTTGGGGCTAAGAAAGCTTCATAGGAGCCAAAAGAGTGTTGCTAGGGGTTATCAGAAAGAAGACAGAAGATTTTTTCAGCATTACTCTTCAGGGTGAGAAAACAGCCAATGTCTTAAAATTTCCAGGAGATTCAGCCATCCATAAGAAATTATTTTACATACTAGAGCTCTCCAAAAATGAAAATAGCTGCCATGTGAGGGAGCAAGCCTTTCACCTCTGGAAGCATTCAAACTGAGGATAGATTACCAGTAAGAGACAATGAGACAGCCATCTTATTTCTAATAGTCTGTGTTTTGTTTATTCTCCAAGCGAGGGTGATTTTCATATAACTGAAAGAAGTGACTAGAACTCACAAAGAAGAGCAGGGTTAAAGACAACACCTTAGGCACTGCTCAAAAAAAAAAAAAAAAAAAAAAAAAAAAAAAAAAAAAAAAAAAACAGAAAAGAGAAATAGGCCGGGTGCAGTGGCTCTCACCTATAATCCCAGCACTTTGGGAAGCCAAGGCAGGTGGATCACTTGAAGTCAGGAGTTCAAGACCAGCCTGGCCAACATGATGAACCCCATCTCTCCTAAAAATACAAAAATTAGCTGATGGTGTTTGCCTGTAATCCCAGCTATTTGGGAGGCTGAGGCAGGAGAATCACCTGAACCCGGGAAGTGGCGGTTGCAGTGAACTGAGATGGCACCATTGCACTAAGCGACAGAAGGAGACTCCATCTATTTAAAAAAAAAAGGAGAAAGAAGAGTCCAAAGGAGAGAGAGAAGGAAAGAGAGAGAGAGAAAGAGGGGAGGGCTGTGACCAGTAAAATAATATAAGCACCAGGAAAAAGTTATAGAACCACGGATGGCCATGAGGGACCAGTGGATGGTTGGCTAATAGGTACCACAGAGAAGGGAAGTACAGTAAGGCCAAGCAAGTCATTAGAGGACTTGGAGAATGAAGTTTCAGTAGATCTAGGCAGCAATAAAATGATAGCTAAGTGGCACTGTAGGGTCAAGTGACGGTTTATGCGTTTCAGAATGAGGAGGTCATGCACATCTGAGTCCAAAGAGCAGAAAGCAGGAATTAAGGGAAAGTCCAGGAGATTCCTGACATTTATGCTTTAATATCTATGGTTCTTGCCATTTGTCGTCGACCTCTGTGATCCAAACCATGCTGTAATTTTTACATTTTGCCAAGGCACACACAGGAATCACATCTGCTGAGAAACGGCTGCACAAGAGTGAGTCACTTATTTGGAGAGCATGCCTAGCTGGCTGCCCAACATCTGTGTCGTATCATGTCTTTGTTATTCTCTGCTAATCTCCATACATGCTGTAACTATCATGAAGTGATAGGGACCCCGTTGCTTTTTAGATTCAGATTCAGCGCATGGGTAATGTCGCCACTAAGATGATGGATGATGACTAACATAGTTCTTTAAAAACCATCTAAGGGACTGAAGATGTCACTTTGATGCTTCAGGCATTCTTCCCATTATTTTATGGAGGTAACTCCGTATGAGGGGTACTCCGAAACCCCGAATTTCCAAAGCTCTAAGGATATGTTTCTTAAAACTATCAAGATCAAGATTCTGCTCGTTGGAAGAGGTGAGACCATCACTAAAGAAGAAACGCAGGAGTTGGGAAGGGCTGTTTTTAGCTCACAGGTAGAAACATTTACTTTAGAATCTGGAAAGAATAAAGAATGTGGCTTAGCCTGATTTCCCCAGAGAGTGGAACATACATATATGCAAGCGCTTTATTGGGAACTGCCATCCCTAGAAGCAAGAGTGAGGGAGAGGGAAGTGACGAGAGGTAGTACAAAGTAGGTTATTGCTTGATTCCGTGAACCACCTGAGAAGTCACATGGTACACGTCTCAGGACTGCCTGTCTGGGGTGAGAAAGGAGGGGGCATTTATCCATCAGCTTGAATCCCCCGTCGGTCAAAGGATCACTCCGTGGAGGCATTAACTCCCCGAAACTTCAAGTTGCACTCATGAGACTACTAAGGAGCATTTGCAGTGTCTGTCCCAGGCTGCAGAAATGACAGAGAAGGCTTCGGATGGGAGGTGAGAGGTGCTTTAAAGTTGGTTCTAAATGCAGCTGGTTGGCTTATGGCAGAAATGCCACTACAGTGGCAGCTGGAATCAAACGGGTGTGGCTGAATGGAGCTGAGGCGGTGCTTACAAGAGGTGTCTGATCCAAGATGTTGGTGGTTTAAGAAGTATATGGGTGTGAGCAGGATGGGTCTGGTTCCTGGCTCCTCTCAGACACAAGGCCTTCTCACAAAACTGGGGATGCTGTGACAGGAGTGAGTATCTGATACAACTGGAGAAGTATCACAGCCGCTCGGCCAGAAACATCAGGAAGCCGAGCATTAGGAATTCTTAGCTCTCTGCATTTTCTCCACGAGTGCCTGCACCCTAGAGTGGATGCTGAGAAAGCCAACCATGGGAGGACCCCGAGTGGACTGGCATGGAGAGGAGGGCAAAGGTCATGGGTAGGGGCCACACCAGTAGGGGTCAGGATGCAGCAGGGCAGGGAGCTGAGGGTGGATGGAAGAGGTAAAGCCAGAGTCGCTGTGAGGATGGAGCAGGGAGAAGGAACACATGCAGAGCCCTGTGCACGGTTTGGGGCACAGAAAGGCCATGAGGTGAGGACATGAGCACTGATATTCTTCAGCCAGCTGAGAATACAGATGTTGAAGTTGCTGAAGAAGGAAGGAGAAGGGACGTTGGGAAGGGCAGAGAGACCCTGAGATGACTCCTGAAGCTGCACAGGATGGAAGAAACAGTAATAGAAGATGCTGACAGTGATTTGTAGGCAGTTAAGTAGGGGATGGTAGAGAGTCCAGATGAGAAGGCATGAGGAGAGGGAGTCAGAGAGTGGAATCTGAGGACTTGTAGTAAAAGATGTTTTCCCTTTTTTGGAGACAGGGTCTTACTCTGTCACCCAGGCTGGAGTGCACGGTGCAATCTCGGCTCACTGCAGCCTTGACCTCCTGGGCTCAAGAGATCCTCACGCCTCAGCCTCCTGAGTAGCTGGAACTATAGGTGGGCACCTCTACACCTGCCTGATTTTTTTTATTTTTTGCAGAAACAGGGTTTCACTATGTTACCCAGGCTGGTCTCAAACTCCTACCTTCAAGTTCTCCTCCCACCTCAGCCTCCCAAAGTGCTGGAATTACAGGCGTGAGCTGCCATGCCAAGCTCAAGGTAAAAGATTTTAAAGAACACATGTTAATGAACAGTCAAAGCACTTGCAAAGTTTGAAAACAAAGCAAGATTTGCTTCATGGCAGACTTCACCAGATGTTATTTCTGCAAGATCAGTTTCAAGGGGGGTGTAGATTTTCACCTTAATACACTGGATATTATCTGAATGTGCTATCAGAAACCTGCATAGTTTTTATGATAAAAATAAAAGGAAGAAAGAAAACCCAATTGGTCAAGGATAAAGCTAGAATTCAATTGCATCGTGAACAAACACTTGTCCACCACCCATTGGCTCCACAGCTGAACAAAGCAGGTAGTCTGAGGTGTGGTTTCATTAACCTTCCCAATACTCATTGCTGCTAAATCAACTTAAACTGTGACCCAGTTAATACAAAGAGCCAGTGGAAGTAAATGCTTTAAAAAGATGGGAATTTATAAAACTTATAAAACTTATAAATATAAAAAACTTACTACTTATAAAAGGTAAATGTTTAACACGCCATACACAGAGACCCAGCCACATTCCATCAGCAGCTGCCTGTTTGCCCTTTAAGTTTCCAGGGAAGTACCTGGCTCTTCACACTATTGGCCTTCAGCCAGGAATCCCACTAAGCAAGAGGTCCTGGAAGGCATCGTAAATAGAGAATGAGGACTTCCAACAGGAAGTTAGTGCCACAGTCCTCAGCTCCTGAGCCATGCCACATCGGCCACAGCCAGTCAACAACTCAGTCAGAAGGCCACCCCCACAGCAGACCATGCCACATCTGCTGAGACCCTGGCCGGCAAGAGATTCCCAGTACTCTCCTCTCTCTCCTCACCTAACTCAATTCCCAAACAAAGTCTCAGGGTCATATCTCCACGTGACTTCATTCTGAATCAAGTATAAATAATAAAACTTAAATCCCATCTGAAATCTCAGCTTCAAGAGACTCTGGTGTGTTGAATGACGGAACTTTCCAGTCTTTACACTAGAGGCAGGCAAGAGAGAAAGATGTTGAGGCTGGCGCGGTGGCTCACGCCTGTAATCCCAGCACTTTGGGAGGCTGAGGCAGGTGGATCATGAGGTCAAGAGATCAAGACCATCCTGGCCAACATGGTGAAACCCCGTCTCTACTAAAAAATACAAAAATTACCTGGGCGTGGTGGCTTACACCTATAGTCCCAGCTACTTGGTAGGCTGAGACAGTAGAATTGCTTGAACCCAGGAGGTAGAGGTTGCAGTGAGCAGAGATCATGCCACTGCACTCCAGCCTGGTGACAGAGCGAGACTCCGTCTAAAAAAAAAAGAGAGAGAGAGAGAAAGATGTTGAAACAGAGGTTGAGTATGCCAAACCATTGGATTAGCCACAGTTGCTCCAGAAACTTGGGGCACCCAGTGTATTGTTGGCCAGCCTTTCCCTCCCTCATCTTCAGCCATCCAGTCCACGTATATTACCTGGTTTTTTCCTCAGCTCCACCTTTCAACAAAGTATTATTATCCCTACTTTATAGATAAGGAAACTGAGTCTCATAAAGTTTAAATAATGTGCGAGAAGGTAATAGACTCAAGGTCTGAACCAAGAGCCACTTTGCTATTCTCACATGGTGGAATTTCTACATGTGCTTTGCTGAAATTGATCACCCAACAATAGCAGCCTCTCTCTATTCTCAATTCCCTTTATCCTGGCTGTGATTCACTGGCTTTCTAAATGGCTCAGTAGGCCTGGGACTCCTCCACCTGCAAACTTTTGCTCCAGCAATTTTCTTAATTACTTGAGTTTCTTTATCCTATGGGCCACCTGAGAAGCCATGTGTGTCAGACTACTTTGGCTCAGAAAGGAGGAAGAATTTATCCATCAGCTTGCATCTGCAATTGATCAAAGAATCACTCCATGAGAGATCATTGTCCTTTCCCCACATCTGACCACCCAGATCACAGCCATCCTTTAAGGCCCAGATCCAAAACTACCTCTCCACAAGGACTTCACCAATCTCCCTGGAAAAGGCCGACCTTCACTGAGACTCCCCTGCATTGCGTCTGCACCTCCCTTCAAACATTTCCCAGATGCAACTTATATAATAAGTTCAACCCCTTCTATAGTATAACTTCCTTAAAGACAAGAACCATGACATTGATCTCTGTGCCCCTATATCTCCTGGCACAGTGCAAGTATATAGTAAGGATTCACTAGATGAATAATAAATGAATGAATGGCCGGGCGCGGTGGCTCAAGCCTGTAATCCCAGCACTTTGGGAGGCCGAGGCGGGTGGATCACGAGGTCGAGAGATCGAGACCATCCTGGTCAACATGGTGAAACCCCGTCTCTACTAAAGGTGCAAAAAATTAGCTGGGCATGGTGGCGCGTGCCTGTAATCCCAGCTACTCAGGAGGCTGAGGTAGGAGAATTGCCTGAACCCAGGAGGCGGAGGTTGCAGTGAGCCGAGATCGCGCCATTGCACTCCAGCCTGGGTAACCAGAGTGAAACTCCGTCTCAAAAAATAAATAAATAAATAAATAAATGAATGAATGAATTTTCCTACTGAGGTGCTCTCTTCTTTAACCTATTGAAGAATTTGTATCTGGGTAATTACAAGTCAATTGCTCCAGTCTCCCAGTGCTTTTAATTAGCAAGATTTTCCTTTATCTCAGCAGTTCGCAACCTTCTTGGCACCAGAAACCAGTTTCATGGAAGATAATTTTTCCACAGACAGGCAGGGGTAGGAGACAGTTTGGGGATGATTCAAATACATTACATTTATTGTGCACTTTACTTTTATTATATTGCATTGTAGTAGATAATGAAATACTTACACCACTCACCCTAACGTAGAACGAGCTTGTTTTCTTGCAACTAGGCAGTCCCATCTGGGGTTGATGGGAGACAGTGACAGATCATCAGGCATTAGATTATCATAAGGAGCATGCAACTTAGATCCCTTGCATGCACAGTTCACAGTAGAATACCGTTCTCAATGTGCTCCCATAAGAATCTAATGCCACGGCTAATCTGACAGGAGGCAGAGCTCAGGTGGTAATGAGAGTGATAGGGAGCAGTTGTAAATACAGATGAAGCTTCTCTTGCTCACACACTGCTCACCTCCTGCTGTAGCATGGACTGGTACCAGTCCCCAGTCTGGAGGTCGGGGACCCCTGCTTTACCTTTTTCTCCCATATTTAGTGAGACCTCATCAGTTGTTAAGGCCCAGATATTTATCTTCCCTTAAAATGCAAATACAGAAACCTAATCCTCAATGTGATAGCATAGGAGGTGGAGATGTTAAAATGTGATTAGGTCATGAGGGTGGAACCCTTATGAATGGGATTAGTGCCCTTGTAAGAAGCCAAATAAACCACAGTTGTCTCCCTTCCACCATGTGAGGGCTCAGCTAGAAGGTGCCACCTATGAACCAGGAAGCAGCCCCTCACCAGAAAACAAATCTGCCAGTGCCTTGATCTTGGACTTCTCAGCCTCCAGAGCTGTGAGAAACAAATATGTTGTTTGTAAGTCACCCAATTAATGGCATTTTGTTGTAGCAGCTCAAATGGACTCAGACATCACTTAATGTATATAAAATATGTTTTACATATTTATTGGTTTGTGGCTTCTAACATTTTTTAAATGAACTTAAAAAAGAGAGAGAATAATGTCTATCTTTGGAGTTGAAATGAGTTCATTTTTTCTTTGGAACAACCACAAGAGGACACTTTGTACACTAGTGCAGGCATTTACCGTAAGTAACAATTCATCAGGCCAAAAAAGGTGGAATAAACAATGAAAGTAAAAGTATCAAGGAGTCTCCATGCTCTACATTTAATCCATTCAATTTCCTGCTAAAGTAGAATTTCTTCCCTGTGTGTCAATCCTTTGGGATCAGCCTACAGAAACAGTCTCCTCAGTTTCTTCTAGAAACTTCCCAGTTTAGAACCCCGAAAGAGTGGCCAGCAGTCACCAAGTCAGGTTCTCTCCGGCGTGCAGCTAATGAGACTGGTAGGCCAGCCGCTGCCTCCTGGTTGCCATGGAAATGACCAGGCCGCTGGCCCTCTGAAGACGGAAAAGAACAGCACGTGGAAGACCACGCATTCCACCCTGGCTTGCAGATTAACCCAGCTGTCAAGCCAGGGTGAAGGATCCGCGGCCAGGCAGAGGTCTGTGGAGTGGAGAGGCGAGGACTCACGGTGGAACTCTGAGATGTAAGTACTTTCTCTGTTCTTCTTTTTTAAAAAGCATGTCTAGTCTAACAGACCGTTTTTAAGAGCTTCAGAATTTCTGCTGCATGGCAGGAACTGTGACGTTTGGAAGAGCCATTGGCAGGGTCATCTTCTTGTTGCATTTGCATTTCCTGAACCCGTAACATACATGTATGAGTGGCTTCCACTATGAAACACTTTTTAGGCTTCCAGGCGTATGGATTTCTCTTTATTGAGATCCTGCCTTTAAAAAGAAAGATTTTCAGTGCATTAAGCAAAGAATGAAATGGTCTTCTCATTTAAACCCTAAAAAGAAAAACTCACTTAAGGCTAATCCAACAGATATCTCCTTGAAATCTTGTCTCTAGTTTAAAATATCTGACTAGACTTTTCCGTTAGTCTTCAATGGTAAATAACAATTAAGGAAAAGAGATATGATACATAGCTCTTTTCCTTATTGTGATCGCAAACAAAGTGGGAACTCCCAAAACATCGGCTGATGTTGTTTCTTTGCTCTGCTTTATCTTTTAATAGTATTATATTTACTGCCTATTTACACACCTGGCTTTATAGCGTTCGCTGGTTAGAAAACAAAGAAAGAGAAGAAAGTAGGTTTGGATGATTATTAACATTTGGATTGGATAGTTCTTGTTTTTTAAAAATTGGTGTTTTATTCAAAAGTGAAAAAGCATGATAAATAATGTAGCAAAAGGCAAGATGAGGAAGGGAATGCTTTAATTCAAAATCAGTAGACCATACACAGTCCTGCATATATTTCTTTGTTTAATAAGCATATTTTTGGAAAGTTTTTAGCAAAAGTATGTTGGTGTATATTGAGGACAGGAAATATTTCAAAAACACTGTGCATGTTATTTATTTAAAAAACCCATCCTTTAAAAATACCCCCCAAAAAGACTTCATTTGCTTGAAAATTTTTTTTACTGAAAAGAGCCATCCCTGAGAAGCTTTTTGCTTTTTTTTTTTTTTTTTTTTTTTTAAGACTAAATAATGCAGCATGTTTGGAAGAAAAAAAAGACTTTTCATTACTTTTTTCTGACAGAAATTGGCATTTTTTGAAAATAACAGTTTCAGAAAAAAAGGTATTTATGGAAATGAGTGCTTTTCAAGAGATGACTTGGATTTCTCAGCTTTCTTTTCCACACTAATACTTTTCAGTTCTTAAAGCTGCTACATTATCAGCTTTTAAAATTCAGTGCCCAGTGGCTTGTGTCTGTGTCTGTGGGAGCTAGCAGGTCAATAAGCCCCAGTGGGAAGAACAGGCAGACCTCACGGTTCTGTGGGTGTGGGACCAAGGGGCAGCTGTGCAAAGCTGCGGATGTGAACCCCAGTGATGCAATTAGCTGGGTGTCTACCAAGTCACTCAAAGTAAATACTCAAAGTATTTGCAATCATTGCCTAATTCACTCTCTCAAGGACCTGTGTCAAATAGAAAGGTACAGTTGCCATATATTTTAGTTAGGACTCCTTCGTCAGGACTTCTGAGAATTCTTTGTCTCACATTCTATACCTATGTAGGCAGCAGCAGCACTCTGTTCATATTGTCCTCTATTCTGATTATGAACTTAAGAATAGAGATTTATTTCTTACGGTTCTGGAGACTGGGAATTCCAAGGTCAAGAAGCCTGCATCCAGCAAGGGCCTTCTTGCTGTTTCACCCCATGGCGGAAGGTGGAAAGGCAAGAGAGCATGTACATGCGCATAAGAGAGAGAGAGACAGACAGAGAAGAAGGGGGTCAAACTCATCCTTTTATTTGAAACCTACTCCCATGATGACCAACCCACTCCTCAATAACAGCATTAATCCATTCATGAGGGCACTGCCCTCTTAAAGGTAACTCTTAAAGCTCCCACCCCTCGACACTGTTGCACTGGGGATTCAGTTCCTACATATGAACTTTAGGGAACACATTCAAATCATAGCATTTAGCGTGAGGTTCCATACACATTTAGGTTAAAGGCCACAGCATCTAGTAATAGAATACAATGCATGGACTTTCACTTGAATAGGCCCAAGACCCTAGGGTAGGAAATAGCGCCGTAATTTCCACCATGGCTCTTCAGAGTATAGTTGGCTGTCTGGGTTCAAATTTTACCCATTATTAACTGGTTCTGTCACCCTGGACAAGTTATTTAACCTCCCTGTGTCTTCATTTCCTGATATGAAAATGAGACCATATGTGGTGGCTCATGCTTGTAACCCCAGCACTGTGAGAGGCTGAGGTGGGTGGATCACTTGAAATCAGGAGTTCAAAACCAGCCTGGCCAACATGGCAAAACCTGGTCTCTACTAAAAATACAAAAATTAGCTGAGCGTGGTGGGGTACCACCTATAATCCCAGCTACTTGGGAGGTTGAGGCAGGGGAATCACTTGAACCTGGGATGTGGAGGTTGCAGTGAACTGAGGTAGTGCTAGCCTGGATGACAGAGCAAGGCTCTGTCTCAAAAAAAAAAAAAAAAAAAAAAAAAAAAAAAAAAAAAAAAGAATGGGGCCATAATATCTACCTGAAGGATTACAGAAAGGATTTTAAATAACAGAAAACGTGAAACACTGAACAATGCCTAGCACAAAGGAAGCACTCATTAAATCATACTATTCGTGAATAAAAATATGGATCGCTCCTGATTTCATTCAGTTTTCAACACACAACATACATGTATCACATTTTTTTATTTTCAAGTATGCTGCCACTTTATTGGTGACCATTTGCTATATTTAGCTAGCTGAGCCTTGGGAACACAGGGCTGAAGAACAGTGAATTATTGATGCCGTAATATTTCTCATAAGAGTCTGAACTTTCTTGGAAATCAGGAGCTGTGTATTTGACATGTTAAGTTGGAGATGTCTGCTAGACATTGAGAAAGCTATCAGATACAATGTGAGGCAGGTGAGCATGACACAGTCAGGAGCTAGAGACATATCTCAGCTCCCCATCAGCATCTAGGTGGTATTTAACTTTACAGGACAATAGGCAGGAACCAAGAGAGTGGACGAACATACAGAAGACAGCCATGCACTGAGCTGGGGACATGCAATAATGACAGTTAAGAAGATCAGATGTCAGCCAAAAGACTGAGAGGGAGTGGCCTTTGAAGTAGCCAGAAAACCAGGAGAACATGATGTCATGGAAGAACAGAAAGCTATTCACTCAAAAGGAAGGGGGGAGGCAACTAAGTCAGATGCTGGTGGGAAGTCAAACAAAATGAGACCAGGAAATTAATCACTGGATTTGGTATGGGGTGGTGGGGTGTGGTGGGGGGTGGTGGGATTCAGTGAGAACTTGATGAGAATGGTTGCAATAGAATGATCCCAGCAAAAGTCTGGTTTTTCGAAGTGGCTTAACTTCAAAAAACTAACTGTGTTAGTACTTAACACAGTTAGGTACTAGGCTCTGTGTGATAACAGATTGGCTTACGAAAGCTCTTTTTAAAATTTATTTTGTAATAGACTGATACAACACTCTAAGAAAAATAGGTTTGAGTCAAATAAGAACTGTCATGTATTCCCCCAACCTAATAAAATGTCATGAAAGAGGAGAGATTGGAAGACAGTGTAAGAGATAAAGATGGTTTCTCAGTGGATACAAAACAGAAATCATCCCCACACCCAGAGGGAAACATAAGCAGATGAGGGGAATGTGGCCCAGATTGGAGAATAAGAAAACACAATGGGACCACACGCAGTGGCTCACACCTGTTGTCCCCACACTTTGGGAGGTGGGAAGATGTCTTGAGGCCAGAAGTTGTAGATCAGCCTGGGATTACAGTGAGACCACGTCTCTACAAAAATTTAAAACATCTGCCAGTGGTACGCACCTATAGTCCTAGCTACTCAGGAGGCTGAGGTGGGAGGGTTGCTTGAGCCCAGTAGTTCAAGATGACAGTGAACTACTGCACTTTAGCCTGGATGACAGAGCAAGACCTTGTCTCAAAAAAGGAAAGAAAGAGAGAGAGAAGAAAGAGAAAGTAAGGGAAAGAAAGAAAAGAAAAGAAAGAGAAAGAGAGGAAGAAAGGAGGGAGGGAGGGGAGGAAGAGAAGAGAAGAGACGAGAAAGAAAGAAAGAAAGAAAGAAAGAAAGAAAGAAAGAAAGAAAGAAAGAAAGAAAGAAAGAAAGAAAGAGAAAGAAAGAAAAGAAAAGAAAGAGAAAGAAAAAGAAAACCCAGTGAGATATCACACATTCTCTCTCTCTCTGTCTCTGTCTCTCTCTCTCTCTTTCTGTCTCTCTCTCTGTCTCTGTCTCTGTCTCTCTCTCTGTCTCTCTCTCTCTCTCTGTCTCTCTGTCTCTCTCTCTCTTTCTCTCTCTCTCTCTCTCTCTCTCTCTGTGTGTGTGTGTGTGTGTGTGTGTGTGTGTGTGTGTGTGTGTGTGTCTCCTCAAGGTTTATTCCCACAACATGCCTTGGTGCCTCTCCTTTCCCAGTTTTGATCCATTTCCCATAAAATGATTACTTTGAATTTGCATCTCTGAAATGACTGGTCTCTGGGTCATTAAAAAAAGAATCTTCTCTGTGGCCAGGAGGTCTGAAGAATTCATCTGGAGTTGTGTCTAGACACTATTTCATGGCACTCGATTTAGCCCAAATCGTGATGCCAGATTATCTACTGGAGCTCTGCTGCTGTCGCAAAACTAATCTTCAAAGAGTCATCAGTGAGATCAGGACTCACTCTTTTTAGGTTTACAGAAAAATCGTGAGGATAGTACAGAGAGTTCTCATACAGAGTTAACATCTTACATTAGTGTGGTACACTTGTCACAGTTAATAAACCAGTACTGACACATTATTATTATAAAATAAAGTCCAAACATTATTCAGATGTCCTTAGATTTTACCTATTGTCCACTTTTATTGCCCCAGGTTCTCACATTACCTTTAGTCATCATTCCTGGGAGGCATTTTAAAACTCTGAAAAATCTTCCAAGAAAGAAACAAGGTTTAAATGTTCATTGGTTCCAATATTTGTAACTAAAACCAGCAAAGAAAAATTT